GTTTGTCTAAGTAATTTCCTTTATAAGTTAGGTTTGAGAAAAAGGGCTTATTGCCTGAGAATAGGGGAGGGAAAGGATGGCTTACCTTAAGAAATGTATATTTTGTGTTTCTTCTGTGTTCTCTAGTGAAGTGTGGGATGTCTACATTTCTTAAGGTAAGCCTGCTTATCCTATCATTTCTCTCCCCTAAATTTCCTTTACAGTAATGGTCTTTCAAGTAATAAAACCTAGGGCCTACAATATCAGTTTTTCTCCATGCATCTATGAACTTTCATGTTTTGTTTTAGGTAATGAAGTCTCCAATGTTGTTGACCTTTGTTAGAGCCCCAAAAAAAGCACGAATGAAGAATCATTATCAGCCAATGTTTTTTCCTATTAAAATCATTAGCCAACTGACATTATAGTGGCGATTCTAAAGGGGGCTACAGAGGCTCCTCTGGAAAAATAAATTTAAACATATTTTTAACCAGAGAAAAAAAGTAATGGAGGATTTTGAACACAGTTCTAGACATTGAACAATGGTTTTAGAAAGTCACTGCACAACTTAAAGGAACCAAGCTTTTTGGAGGTGGACCCTCTACATTTTTTAGGGCGTTACCGATGACTTTAGTTAAGCAAAGTAGACATCCCATCCATATGGGCCAGCTGTCACTAATTGTTTATTAAAAAAGAAAGTTATTGATGAAGCCAGTAACAGGTTGTGCTAGTGTCTAACTTTCCTTTTACTACCTTATATTTATTTGTTGCTGATAGTCCAGGAGCAAACTGCACATATCCAGCTTCCGTGGGATTTTTTGTGAAGCAAATGTGTGACTATGTGGAATCTCTTTATTATATGTCACATAATGGTGTAGTACCGGGTGTTTACCCTCAAATTGCGGGGTTTGGTTTTTATGACGTCGTAAATCCAAGATGGCCGCCATGTGTGACATCTATTCACTAAATTCATAGTAACTCTTTTCAGAGTAAAATAATGGAATTTTAATTTACACCATTGAATTCAGCTCAAAAAATCAAACAATTTGGTGTTTTGAATCATTGCTCTATGACCATTGGTTACCGAGATATTGAAGGCGGAAAACACAGAACATTGTCGCCATGTTATCCTTATAGGGAAAAAAATAAAATTGTATATCTAGCTTATTACTCAGCATATCTTAATAATAATTGGTATGTGGCTTCATTTAGTAGAGATCTACTTGAATATGGCCTAAAATCCCCCATTTTTACATTTCCGTGGCAGCAAACCTGCATACTAACTTCCAATGTTATTCTTATGGACAATTTTTTGCATGCTTGTTCATGAACATACTTTGAGAAATGATGATGTGTGGCTCCATTTTAATTATTTATTGAAGCATTTGTAATTCGTTGAGTATACAGGTCTGCTGCTACGGGTAGGTCTGCTATAAACAAATTATAGGTATTAGAAAATAAAATAAATTAGACTATAGTTGTGAGGCATATGTAATTTTGTAGGATTTTGAATTAAGCAATTGTATGATTGTTGGCGATTGATAGGTAATTACATGTAGAACCGTGTACTACCGAGTATTTTGTCTGAAAATGTGGCCAAGCTGGTGTTTTCGGTCGCCATCTTGGATTCGCCATATTGGATGTTAATAACTTTTTTATACAATGCTAGTGTTGTGACACATCATTATGAACTAAATTTTCACGCTGATTTCAATGCTGGAATATGTTTTTAAATATATTTTTTCGTTTTGAATATTCAAATAAAAACTATGATTGGTGGTGATAGATAGGTAGTGACATAGAATCGTGTACTACCGGGTGTTTTGTCTGAAAGTGTGGCTAAGCTGGTGTTTTTGGCCCGCCGTCTTGGATCTACCATATTGGACATTAATATAATTTTTTAAATGTAATGCTGGTGTTGTGACTCATCATTATAAACTATAGATGTTTACGCTAATTTTAATTCCGAAAACCGTTTGTAAATATCGTCTTTCGTTTCGAAAATATATTGAAATGAAAACTCCCCCCCCCCCCCCATACATCTTTTACGGACGTTTCGTACTTTGATTATTTTTCTCATATATCCAGTTCTTATTATCGCTTGCAATTCGTTATAGTATTCAGTGATGTAAGGGCTTTTATTTAAGCTATGGATCATTAAAATCGGACGAGTTAGAGTTGAGCTATGAACCACAACACAATATTAAATCTAACTTTTTCCAAATCAGTTTTATGAAAAGATTTATATCTCGGTTTGTTAATACGACAAAAGGTTCATTCTAGTCTTAAATTACTCAGTAAATGTCTGGTTTAAAATGTTATTAAACACTAAATGAAATCTGACTAATTGAAAATGAGTCATGGGCCTTTATTTAACATTAATAATTATTTTTATTTAGAAATTTTTCTTTGGTTAAAGCAATTAAAGACATACAGGGCTGGTCATCAGGGTTACAACATTTGTTTGGTGTAAGTACAAAGTAAATGATGTGTGATGAGGCATATAAGACTAAAAGGTGCCACGTCTAAAAATTGTAACACTGATGACTAGCCCTGTATGTCTTTAACCAAAGAAAGTTTTGGACATAAAAGTAATTTAATGTTAAATGATGGTTAATGACTCATTTTAAAATAACTTAGTCAGATTTCATTTAGTGATTAATAAAATGTTAAATCAAACATTAACCAAGTAATTTGAGACCAGGAAGAACTTAGTGGCGTACTAATAACCCGAGATATACATCTTTTAATAACAACAGAACTTTTCTTCTTTTTTTTTTAACTCCTGCATCAATCTTTGCATATTTCCAAACTTTCTATTTATTGCATTGTTATTTATTTTTGTTAATATAGTATATCCTGTTGTTATTGCATTGTTATATCTTGTTCTTGTACGGAGTTATCATATTGTTATTTTTCTGCAAGTTTTATCTGTTTTTTATGAAGTATGTTCTGCCTCTTTACTGAAGTTTCACTCGGCTACTGGCATCATTGTTATTGTTCCTATACTGGTTTTGTTTTTCGAATATCTCGTTTTGTCAACTCGTTCAGATAGTTTGTTTTTTATAGTTGTTACTTATAGTTTGTTATTCATAGTTTGTTATTTATAGTTTGTTATTTATAGTTGTTACTTATAGTTTGTTATTCATAGTTTGTTATTTATAGTTGTTATTTATCTTTTTATGTCTTGTATTGAAGTCTTGTTTTCCAGTTTTTTTTTTCACTACTTTTGTACTGGCCTGTGATTTTTTCTGCTTCTTCCGTATGTAAGATTATTGTATTATTCATGTAAAAATGGTGCAACCGTTAAGAAATAAATAAATAAAATAAAATAAACAGATTTGTAATAAGTTAAATTTAATATTGTGTTAGGGTTCGTAGCTCGACTCTAACGCTCTAACTCAACCGAATTTAAAGATCAATAGCTCAAATGAAAGCTCATACATCACTGAATATCTTAAGACTAGAACGATCTGCAAGCGTTAATAGGAACTGGAGATATAAGAAAAATAATCTTAAAAATGTTCAAAGTACGAAACGTCCGTAAGAAATGTATGGGGGAGAGTTTTTATTTGAATATATCTTCCAAACGAAAAAATATATTTAAAAACATATTTCAGCATTGAAATCAGCGTGAAAATTTAGTTCATAATGATGTGTCACAACACTAGCATTGTATAAAAAAGTTATTAACATCCAATATGGCGAATCCAAGATGGCGACCGAAAACACCAAATTGGCCACACTTTCAGACAAAATACTCGGTAGTACACGGTTCTACATGTCATTACCTATCAATCGCCAACAATCATACAATTGCTTAATTCAAAATCCTACAAAATTACATATGCCTCACAACTATAGTCTAATTTATTTTATTTTCTAATACCTATAATTTGTTTATAGCAGACCTACCCGTAGCAGCAGACCTGTATACTCAACGAATTACAAATGCTTCAATAAATAATTAAAATGGAGCCACACATCATCATTTCTCAAAGTATGTTCATGAACAAGCATGCAAAAAATTGTCCATAAGAATAACATTGGAAGTTAGTATGCAGGTTTGCTGCCACGGAAATGTAAAAATTGGGGATTTTAGGCCATATTCAAATAGATCTCTACCAAATGAAGCCACATACCAATTATTATTAAGATATTCTGAGTAATAAGCTAGATATACAATTTTATTTGTTTCCCCATAAGGATAACATGGCGACAATGTTCTGTGTTTTCCGCCTTCAATATCTCGGTAACCAATGGTCATAGAGCAATGATTCAAAACACCAAATTGTTTGATTTTTTGAGCTGAATTCAATGGTGTAAATTAAAATTCGATTATTTTACTCTGAAAAGAGTTATTATGAATTTAGTGAATAGATGTCACACATGGCGGCCATCTTGGATTTACGACGTCATAAAAACCAAACCCCGCAATTTGAGGGTAAACACCCGGTACTACACCATTATGTTGCATATAATAAAGAGATTCCACATAGTCACACATTTGCTTCACAAAAAATCCCACGGAATACAGTTTGCCCCAAGACAATGAGATACTTGAAGTGACTTTACGATGGTATAGCTTACATTAGGTTCCTACCAGTTTGACTTGGTTAAAAGTCCGCATATTCAATAGAAATAAGTAATTCACATCAGAGTGGGGCTAATTTCAGCTACGTCCAAAACAAGCGACCATTGATGTCTAGTCTAGTTATATCATTAGTCAAAGGCGGTATGAATTCCAGTTCCTGCATACAAATAGCCGGATTGTGTGAATTATGAGTGTAATGAGAATTAAACAAAAAAAATAGATGCAGTGGAAGGACAGATGGCGGAGAGGAGAAAGCAAAAGCAGGAATTACATAATCCTGTTGGTTGTAGTATTGACTCAATATAAAAAAGGCATCAATTTATAAAAATCACAAGATAGACAAAAAATTATAGGCATTACATCAAAGCCTTACTACTTAGCTTTAAGTTACTCAAGGAAACAGAAAACAACAATCTACATCCAAAGTAATTTATTGCATCTATTTCCAAGTGATACTAAGAGTGGTAAATAGTCAAAGATGAAAAAATTATAGACAAAATGTGGTAATAAGGAATTATAAGACTTTATATCTAGCTTTGTTGATACTGTGGTGAGCGGAGGTCTGCAGTTTGAGCAACTCCTCCTTGATGAGTCGAGTAATCTCAATCTTAGCCTTGGACACAGCCAGCTCGTTGGTGCTCTCGATGGCCAGGAACAGCTTACGTTCACCCTCAGGAGGTGACTTGCCCTGGGGGTAGTACGTCCCTCGTACTGTGATACCCGCTTCTGAGTACTCAGAGATTTGGGCCAACGCCTCCTGCAATTTAACAGGTTAGGTAAGTACGTGCTACTGCGAGTCATTCAATCCAGCAGTATTTTTAAGTCACACAGATTTTGCTACGCGCAGGAAAGCTTTCTATATGTCTATTTATTATTGTTGGCTGGCTCTGCTTTAAGAGATTTACAAAATTCTTTTGGCTGTTAATTTATCCCACATTGAATTCTATTTCTTAATAAAGAGCATTCCTAACTTGTGTTTTATTTATTAGTCTGATGAGGTAAGTCTTAATTTTAATCTTAGTTATATAACAAATTCTCTTTGTCCTTAGTTATAACGAAATGGATGATGGTTACCAATTTGGAGTCTCTGTCTTCACCTTTGTACCACAAGGAATAAAATAAAATAGGGTTTGGTTTAAATTTGTTACTTTTCTAGGCAATTGTCCACTTTTGGCACTAAGCAATTTAAAACTTAGACCACACTTGGGAATGAATTTAATTTGGGCTTAACAAGAGCTCGCCCCGTGGTCGAAAACTCAACCAAAATATGTATTGTGCAAACTTCACTACTGTATTTTCACCTACGCTGTAAATAAAACATGTGATTGAATGGAATTTCTTCCATTTGTTTTGATTTTCTGTTTTTATTTTGTTGTTATTTCGTCACCAACATGGCAACCCATTAGGCCCGTGTTGATTTTTGTAAAATTTAAAATTCATTTTTTGTACTTATTTTTTAGCCTATTTTAATTTATAAAGAGATTGTGCACATCTACAGGAAAATATCTTTAATAACTTAGTACCAACCGAATGTAATTCGGTCCGTTAGTATAGTCAGGCTAGCTGTCATAAGTTTTGCAAAAGTTTTTTAGTAGGCTATATAAGATGTCCTATGCACCACTTTGCTGTGGCGTGTATGGCATTGTTGTTCGGTGATACATGCCATGCTCTTCAGTTATTTTCTTAACTTCACTGTCTATTTGATCTGTTATTGATGTTCCAGGCCAGCTTGAGGAGGAATTATTTTTTTAATTATTATGTTCTATATTTTATATTATACAATTTAAGTTTAATTTTATATTTACGTCTACTTCTGTTTCATGACAATTTGCTAAATGCAATCTGGCCTATCCTACTATACTTTATTGTACCGAAGGAAATAAATATATTTGATTTGATTTGAGAAATCAGTAATTGCTATAAACAAAAATCAACTCAAAAGTTTAATATGGAAAATGAATGTTTAGTTCTGTTAATAGTCAAATGTGGACTGTATTCAGCAAAGAAAACAAGGTTTAAGCTGGTACAATACAAGAGAGAATGTACTGTTATAGTTCAGTGGCGGGTACCAAGTTGTAAGCCTTATATTCGTAGTCTGTCGCACAACTGGCTGAGCCACCATTTCTCAGGTGTTTGTTTGGCGTAAAGATAAGTTTTCCAAAAAGTGTTATGTAAACAATAGTACCCTATATTTTAGTGTTTAAAACCAATAGGCTTAATACTACATGCAAATTGAAATTAATTACCCTTTAATTTAAATACACAATTCTTTTTCTTACCTTGGAAGTGACACGCCAGCGGGCTTGCTGTGGAAAGTCATTTATCTCAAGCTCCTCCTCATATTTACGGAATGTCTCGACCTGTTCATCTTCAGACTTATCCTCGTTGTCCTTAGGTTGGTAGTTGAGTCTAGTGTTGAGTTTCGCTGCAAGCTGCTCAGCTACTGTCTTAGCCTACAGAACAAGCAACATAATCAATAATGTAACCTAATGTTGTTTTGGCAGGAGGACTCAAAAACAAGAAAATAACAATTTCTGAGGTTTAACACACTAAATTACCAACTTATTATTTATCAGGCATGGATTTCATACTATAATTTCTTTCCTCACAACAAATAGGATTGTGAACAGCTGTTAATATGGAATATAATCATTAAACCATGCAATAGCAGAAGATATTGAAAATAATATAACAGATGGTGTACTGGCACATGGACAGTGGTTTGGTTGTCAGGATCGTTAAAATGTTAAACACAGCAAACTATTAAGTTATAATTTAGAATAGTACGGTAATTAGTTGCAAAAATCTGTAAAAATGGTAATCATTACAGTGATTGCAAACACAATAAATATCAGCAGACAAGAAAACCCCAATGTAACTCACTGTAATTATGGGCTGGGAACCACCTCCTTTCAGTATGGCCTCTGCAGCCTGTTGTGTAGCTCCCTTGGCCTCAGCCCCGAGGTTCTTGGCCATGTTGATACGGGAGGCTAGCCTCTTGGCCAGCTCCAACTTGTCTGTAGTCACCTGGGCTGGGGAGGTTGTTGTACCTGCTGAAGGTCAATAAAGGTCAATAAAGCAAAAAAACTCAAATAATCTATTTTTAAATTCCAGTTATAACACAAAACATTCATAGGCAACGTTAATTTATGACTAGTTCAATACTATTTAAACCTACACTGTTACACATTTTTAACAAGACGTTCCTATGCCATCAATATTTGCAATACATATTCATCCAGTTCATCTGTGTGCAAGTGTATGACTACTCACTAATAGATAACCAGGGGTATTTTAGTAGGAGTATGGAATTCTTCTTTGTAGAAAAATGTCTAAGGTTTCATTGATGCATTTACCAAAAAAATATATGATCGTACACAATAGATTTAAAAAAATGTATTTGTAAACCGGTGAAATTTTAACTTTTGAATTTACCACTTTGAAGTAGGCATGGGTTAGTTATCAGTAGGGGTCTGCGGGTCAGACTTTTTTGGTTCGGGTCGGGTCGGGTCGGGCCGATAATTTTGGTCCTCGGGTTTCGGGCCAAAATCGGGTAGGGCCAAAAATTATTAATTACCGGATTTTTTTATATTTTTTTAACTCCTATCTGTGTTTTTAATATTACTTGAAAATAACATATGGGAAAAAAATGTATTTATGTATATTATTTCATGTTCATAACTTATTTACAGCTTAGAAGTTGCCTCAACTCCAAGAAAGAAGAAAATATTTTTTTTTATCAAGCCATTCTTTCCCATTTTCATAACTGTTGAAATATCTAAACAGCTATATTACAACAAGTTTGTAATGGAACTTAATATAAAAGGATCATAAACAAATCAATTAACCTTATCACAAGTTTAGGGCCTGTGGACTGGCTTCAAGACTGCAAGCAAGAAGAAAATAAAAATTCTATGTTTCCACCATGCAATATGAATCATTCATTCCCTGCCTCCTAACCTCCTAAGTACAAAAACCTCACACTTACAATAGCATTATTAGTTACATCATCATAAATAAAGAATTATCTATTATTGGCATTAGTAGGCCTACAGCTTTACATAGGAATTATTTTTTATAGGGCCTAAAATAGTAATAGACTAAGCAACATGACAAGTGGAGAACTCATTGAAGAAAAGATATTGTGTAAACTAATTTACTATAAAACTCTAAAACAGTAAAAATAGCACACATACATTGTTTATGGTATAGTTATAGTAAAGACTGTAAAAATTGCATATCATGTCATAGGTACACAGTTATGGATACACAGTTATAGGCACAGGTATTGCAAGAGATCCTAAAACAACTGATTTTAGCTAATAAATGAAAAGAATTAAAAATCCATAAACTCAAGTCAAACAATATCACAATTATTAGGTACCCAAAAAGGAACTCTTAATATATAGAAAATTATATTAAACCAAGAGAAAAGAAAGTTAAATGCTAATTTGGCAACATAAGCAGACATTATAGTGCCCTAATTAGCAACACAACTCAATGTTTTTATACTGTAAGTCAATGTTTTTGAAACCGTAGGGTCTTTTTCTCGGAAGGAAGGGTAGTAAGAATGTAAACAAAAAACCATGAATCACTCTCACAGCCGGGCCCGGGACACTCAAGGTTACAGACCCTCCCCCTCCCCTCCCCTTCCCTCTTACACAACCCGAGCCAGGCCCGGGGACACTCAAGGTCATAGACCCTCCCCCTCCCCCGCCCCTATTACACCACCTGGTTGTTCCAATTGCTGACAAAATGCAAGTAACGAAACAAGGAAGTAGAGACAAAAAGATATATTTTCTTTATTCAAAAATATAAAACTGTTACAGATAATTTATAAAGAAATTAATTCATGGTAGTTTGTGTCTTGTAAATATTGTATTGGATCTTAGAAATATCTTTTTTGAAACTCTATCTAACCTAAGAAAAAAATAATTTTACTGATGAAAACTTTCATAAAATAAAATTATAAAATATTTAGGCCTAACCTCTTTGTAGACTTGCTGATACTTGATACTTTAAAAAAAAAATGAAATAGTGACCATACAATGCCTAACCAGACGATCAGAAGTGTTGTTTTGTTTTGTTACTGAATGACAAAAAGGACAATAGGAAAATAAAAGAACAAGATACAGATCCGTACACTATATCAGATATTTCTTTTGTTTATAATTTATTATGTAAATAAAATACTAAAATATATTTTAAACTAGGTATGGAATAAACAATAAATAATTAAAATGGGACCTCTGGATAAATAGTCTTTCTTTTGACTTCGTTTTCTTTGCACTGTTGAGTCACGGCTTTTGTTTTGTCAGTAGACGACTGGCTCTGGCTAGTGACAGTAAGGCAATTGCTCTGTTGTGTCTTTGTTCTTAAACGTGAGCAAACTTAATATTTAATTCTAATTTTAACATTTTAATTCCTCTGTAATAATATATATAAGAGTGTTTCTTTGAAAATTACTTATTATAACTTTGAAAGTAATAATAATTTTTTTTGGCCCGACCCGATCTTGGCCCGACCCGATCTTGGCCCGAACAGATCTCTGACCCGACCCGGTCTCTCGGGCCTTCCGCTGGCCCGACCCGACCCGAAAAAATCGGGGACCCGCAGACCCCTAGTTATCAGTTTTGCAATTATTTTACTAAAAACTTAAATTAACAACATAATGAACCAACTTTATGATATAAAACCTTAAAATTCATTTAAGTTTATTTGCTGTCCAAACACACTACAGTATAACTTAACTGTTTGATAAGAAATTTACGAGATGGCAGACAAGCGGTTTGTAATAATGAAATTAAATGACAAGTACCTTTTAGGACACAATATTTGACTGGAATGGATAGAGTATTAAAAATAAAACTGCAGGATTGAATTTAAGATTCAAATCATAAAGACATTCTAAAAGCATACCTTGCGTAGTAGACGTAGGGTTCAAAGAGCCTAGAGGGGCTTTAATCTCCTTAACAATACGTTTTGGAGCTAACATACTCTCAATCTGCTGGTCAATGTCACCTTCCAAGTCTTCATCGTCAGAATCTTGGAGACCTGCAACACAATTAACCATCTCTCTATTATACTGTATCCAAGACAATAGTAATCAAATGTCTACATAAATCAGAATTTCCATTAAAGTCCTGGATATTTTTACTGATTTTCTACGACATAAAACTGCTGATGTTAATTGTGACAACAAACTGGTCTATTCAGGCCAATAATTATTTTTGTAATTTTATTCCCCTGCTTCTAGAATAAAAGTAAAAAGAAAATTATTGTCTCCTTCTACAAGCAACTAAATTTGTAGGTTTTTGGCCCAATGTGTTGGTTTGTTACTCTTCTTTGACAAATGAACACTATACACTTTAATTTAAGCTTCATGTCAATGTTATAATATCTCCTTACCTTAACATCCTTTTATAATTTAGGTAGAGTAGAATAGGTTTAACAGTCAGATAAATTTTACACCAATTGTCAATTTAATATTAATTAGTCCTCATTACACAAATTATCACAGAAAAAGTGAACAATTTCTAAATAGTTCTGAGAAACTCAAGCAATTTTAGTAGCATGAACACTCTTGAGATGTGAGTGAAATTCTAAACCCTCTTGAAAATATAGATAACAATCATCATTTTGTTTTTTTACAAACATGTATAGACAGATAAACAGAATAATTTGAAGCTTTGAAAATCACTTTACAGGATTATAAGAACTCTTCTCCTTACCCAAAGCAGCTTTTTGAAACTTCTTCTTTTCATTTACCATCTGGGCTTCTTGTTCATCAAACTTGAAGCCTTTGCCACTAAATCCACCACCACTATGAACTTTTTTCCCTTCCTGAAATAAAATGAAAATATTGTAAAATGAAGTAATAACCTCGCATTAATCAATTATTTGCAGTTGCATCATTGAACAAATATTAATTAAAGATGTGAACTAAATAATTAAATAGGAAACCATACAAAATAGCAGCTATACGGACTCACCGCTAGCTGTTTCGCTTTGTAGCCTTCAAACAAGTTGCGTAGTGGGTCTGGGACTGTCACTCCCGCAAGTTCAAAGGCTCGGACAATGTCTCCGGAGTATCGCTCTTGTTCCGGGGTGATGAATGTGAAGGCATAGCCTTTGTTGCCCGCCCTGTAACATCATCCACCCATTACCATCATCATAGCCATAATCTGTTGTCATTATTGCAAGTGACAAAATCGATTCAAATACAAATTTCCAGAGTTGAATCTTTTTGAAAATCCATAGGATTGAATTATTTGAGAGGTGTATTTGATTATGTACAATATTCATTCATTCAATAAAATAAATATTAGCTTCTGACATTTGTTGTTAGAATATAGCTCACTAGCTGAGTGGTTACAGGATTTTACTAACAATTAGAAGTCTGCTAGTTCAATCCTGAAAGCCATTCAGTAATCTTTGATCATTTGGGTTTTCATGAATGATTATCAACAGAAACGGTTGATCTAAGTCAGTAACCAAGCTAAACTGATCATATCACTCCATTGTTAATACTTAGCATTCATATTCATCATTTCAAGCAATAGTATCTCAGTATTCTTTTTTTATATGTCCATCTGTCACACTATCATGACAATTCAAACCAAACCGTCTACGAAATGCACGCTGGGTCGCCACCACACTATCCTTATTTTTAAAGAACGTTTTGACTACAAAACCACGATGCTCGCCAGTTTATGGCATGGTGACTACTAACAACATGGCGTCTTTCCCCTCACCACATGAAACCTCTCCCACTCTGCTAACTCGCGCGCACGCTCTTCAGCGACTGATTGAAACTAGGGAGTCCACTCTGCCCCACCCTGTATAATAATAAAACTATACTTAGCAGCCAAAAATAAATCTTTAAACTATTTCAACTACAAATATTAAGTGAGGCCTGATTTTCAAATAGTAATTTTTGGAATTTCATTAAAAATTAAAACATAAGGAGTGTATATTAAAGGTTATTGACATGGTTTTCATAGAGTATTTAACATCACAAAGTGCAGATTGTGAACAGCTGTAAGTAAAATATAATCATCAAACCATGCATTGTAAATAAAAAGCAATACTATAAACTACTAAATGATCAGTATTTTTGGAAAGTTATTGGCATGGATTTGATACAGTATTTAACATCACAAAGTTCAGATTGTGGACTATGCCACCCCATAGACATTCATTTGGTCAGTTAGTAATGTATAATTTGTTTATCTTCACAAGATCCAAAATCTGAAAATCCAATATTTATATAGCCGATTGGATGATCCAAAATCGCAAGGTCCAACGTTTATATTGCAGATCGGAAGATCCAAAAGTACAATTTTACATTGTGAAGTAAACTTATGAAATAGTCTGTACGTTCACTTTGAATCTTGCAATCGTAGTGGGTCGTAAGATCCAAAAAGCGATATGTCAGATCAGAAGATCCAAAAGTATGAACTATTGCGTCGTTCAGATAGAAGGCGTTGAAAGCGTGACACAACGTTATCAGCCGCGTTCCTAGCTACGGTATCGGTTTTCTTAGGTGAATTATTTCTTTAAATTTATCTCTCTGTACTCATACGTACATACATATTAAATATATATTTGTAATTTCTAAATATATATTTGCTCACTGCAAATATTTAAACGCCTTCAATCTGAAAGACACAATAACCCATCTTTTGGATCTTCCGATCTGACATGCATTTTGGATCTTCCGATCCAACTACGATCGGAAGATTTAAAGTTAAACGGACAGTCTATTTCATAAGTTTACTTCACAATGTAAAATTGTACTTCTCGTTATGACTGTACTTTTGGATCTTCCGATGGACAATGTTAACTTAAGATCTTCCGATCGGCAATACAAAAAAAAAAACACATAAATTTTAAATTATTAAAACTAGTGTACCTGTTGCTTGAATTCGAGCAATTGCGAAGCATTACAGGCGTTTTTAAAAACGAATAACAGTCATAATTTCCGATGACTTTATAAGAGTTGCCTCAAAGATTATGGAAATACTCAAGATGTACACAACAGTTAGATATAATCAAATTTTTTTTGTAAATATCTTATCTTTTTTCAAAAGCTGATTTAGTTTTTTAGTGTTTTCTACAAATGTTTCCCATATATAGCCACATTACATTTTCTATAATAACGATTATAAATGAAAAAAAAAAACAAAACATTATTTATATTTGTTCTACTTGGTTATGTTTTTTGACTTTCCTATGTTTCCATTGTTTGCAAATCGGCTCTTTCAATGATTGCTCAAGAAATGTAGCACAGTATTAATTCAGTTTTATTTTTAGTATATCAAATTGTCCAGGATTTCTCGTGTTTTTCCATTGTAATAATTACACCAACCCAAATATTGTCTACAGATGCAATATTTTTTGCATTTATTACAACTAGCAACAAAAAGTTGTGGTACACAATGAGAACTTTACTTTTTCCATGGTTTAGGTACAGTGGTAGAAGAACATTAGGGCTATGGTAGATGTGTGCTACACTACAGGATACCGTATAAATTAAAATACCAAATTTCCTTAAACCGTGTCCTCTCCCATAACTGCAATAAGCATTTTATACTTCAATGCCAACCCCGTACGAAGGACGGGTACTCTGCTAGTCTGTTGATAAAATAGTTACACATAAGCCTTTTAAAAACAAAATTTTACCTTTATGGCCTTAATAGGATAGCTGTTGTCATAAATGTAAAAAAATAATAGTACTGCACCCTGTTGGTAAACCTTGTAACTTTTTAATGCTATTCAATATCATAGAACCAACTTGTGTAGTTGAAACAGCTGACAAAATTCTTTTATTTCTTTTAAATACGATTACTCATAAGGGAAACTCCAGAGCCACTGGGACGGAGCCCGAAAGGACTTTTAAGATAAGAATGCGTCTATATGTTAATCGGGAATGTGAGCTATCATCATACCAATAATATCATCAGCCCAATCCGACCAGTATTTTTCGCGTTTACTTGTCACAAACATACATCCATCCATCCATACATCCAAACTTTCTCATTTATAATATTAGTAGGAAGGATTTTTTGTCTCCAACAGTAGAAAATCTCTCTAAAATAAGTGACCTCCGGATAATAGCAAAGTACCTAAATCTAATAAAATTATTTAGCATATATTATATATAGTAAGTCAAAGGATAAAAATTTCAAAAAATTGTTTATTTAGACAAAATAAACTACTGCATTTCCCTTGGAAATTAGGTTGGCAATTTATGCATAATACATAGGCATTACACGGCGACACTCAAAGGGTTAAAAATACCATCATCAACCATCACTATGATTGGTATTGGTTATTGATATGGTTTTCATACAGTAATTATCATCACAGAGTTCAGATTGTGAACAGCTGTTAGTATTGTATAATCATCAAACCATGCAAAAGAGCAATCTTTTAAAAATATCATCAACCATCACTATGATCGGTATTGGTTATTGATATGGTTTTCATACAGTAATTATCATCACAGAGTTCAGATTGTGAACAGCTGTTAGTAATGTATAATCATCAAACCATGCAAAAGAGCAATCTTTTAAAAATATCATCAACCATCATCACTATGATCGGTATTGGTTATTGATATGGTTTTCATACAGTAATTATCATCATCAGAGTTGAGATTGTGAACAGCCGTCAAGCCTGGTTTACACGGGTCGAGTACGGCGGGCGAGTCAGTGTGCGAGTTGCCACTCGCTCATTAACTCGCTTGGTGTAGACATGCAGGCGAGTCGAGCAACGGGCGAGTTGATAAAAAGAGGTCAGTTGAGAGCGAGTCGAGTGATTTAGTTGAAAACCGAGTTGCTCGGCCCAGTAGCTACCCCCGCCACCACGATTTGCCCGCAAAAAATCTGTTTACTGCTATCAAGTGGTGTTTACTACTAATTAATTTTGTGGTCGCTGACAATGAGTCGATCACAACGATCAGTATTTTTGGGGTTAGTTCAGTAGTGTATGCCTAATCACCCTCAATACTCAATGGTTCAGTTGAACAGTTGGCCCTGTGTTGCATTGTCTTGTTGTTCGTAAATCTACTCACTCATAACTCATAACTCATTTATTGAACCAAAATAACAAAAAATACAAAATTTGCATTGGTCATGTCAATTAATAGCGAAGAGCTAAAATTAAAATAAACAATATACAATGGTGCTTCAATAAAACTATAACAATTATACTTCTTTCAACAAAAAACTAACTAACTAAACCCATCAGGGACACAATCTCGAACACTGTAGTAACCCTTGGCCAAGAGTATTTTTTTGATTTGCTTTTTAAAGCTGTTCAAGTCCGACTCCAGCTGAAGGGAGGGAGGGAGGAGATTAAAAAGTTTAATGCCATTGTAATGGCATAAAATATAAAATATAAAATTCAGTTTTCAAAATTGTTGTACAAGTTAAGATCTACAGTTATACTGGAACGATTAATTTATTAATCAATGGGTTGTTAGAAAGCTCACTCCCTAAAAATGTTTTCTGTCAGAAATACATTGAAAACAGTGTTTTCACATTTTTTTTTGGTTGCCTATATATTTGATTTGAAAGAAATGCAGTACCGGTATAGTAATTTGTAACAAATCTTATTCTTTTAGAATATCACCTTCCACTTTGGTCTATCGTATTTGCAAAAAAAACAAAAAAAAAAAAAAAACTTAAGCAACCCCTGAATTTAATGGGTGATTCAGTTTTAATTCTAATAATCTAATTCAGTGATTTAACTAATTTATAAATTCAGCATTAAACTCTTGAAGTCCCATTTTAAACTCAAACAACATTTAACACAAAAGCTACGGTATACGGAATACCCTACACCACAGAACACAGATAAATTATAAAAAATTACTTCTCTGTGCCTACACTGTCGCTGTTCGAAATAGGAATGCGTGTAGACAGTCTAGTCAAGTACCGGGCAAGTTGAACTTTAAACAACTGGGCCCCGGCCTAGTAACTGGGCCGAATAACTCGTCTGACATACTCGACCCGTGTAAACCAGGCTTCAGTATTGTATAATCATCAAACCATGCAACAGAGCAATCTTTTAAAAATATCATCAACCGTCACTATGATCGGTATTGGTTATTGATATGGTTTTCATACAGTAATTAT